GCCTTCTTTCACTTAGCATAATGTTTTCAAGGTTTATCAACGTTGTAGCATTTATCAGTATTACTTTTCCTCAAGCCTCTTAAAATAGCTGTCTTATGTCTGGAATTTTCTTTAAAATATTCTAAGGGAAAAAATGGAGGGAATATATAAACAAGATTGGCAAACTGTTGATAAGCATTGAGGCTAAGTGATGGGTATATAGTTCATTAAACTATTCTAGTTTTGTGTATGTTTGAAATTTTCAATAATAAAAAAATTATTTAAAGATAGCTTTCTTTCCAACTTTTTGGTTTCAGTTCAAATAACATTTCATGTTAGAAGGAACTTCCTCTTTTTCCTGCCTAGTACGTATCACAACTTTTGAGTATCAAAATGTTTGTTTCGTAAAAAGTATAACTATTGCACTGTGTTGTACAGCTGAAACTAATTCTAAAAAATGTGTATTTCATAATAAAAATAATTAAAAGAAAAAAAATGTTTGTTTCACCTATATTTTCTCTCCTCTCTCTCCCTCCCACTTCTCTCTCCCTCCCTCTCTCTCTCTCTCTCTCTCTCTCTCTCTCTCCCTCCTTCCCTTCCTCCCTCCCTCCCTCTCGTCAATACTCAGTAGGGAGACAGAACACACCTTGAGTCTAGCACAGAATCTGACCCATAGTAAGCACACAAACACTTAATGAATGAAATCAGGATGGACAGCCCAGAATCCCTCCTTCGTTATTTATTTGGGCCACTCCCAGAAAAACTTCTTGCAGAGGTGAAAAACTAGTGATCTTATTCCCCTCACCATCTCCTGTGCTCAAATTTTCTTATTACTATAAACAGTAACATTTCAGATATTATAACCATGAACACTAAGGAATTTCTTCACCTGTCCATGTTTCACTCGGGACCATCCATTCCTTTAGACAAGAAAGCTCACATAACCAGGTCTGAATGAGCAGGATGGCATGTTTATACCATGGCCTCACGGCTATAGCTGATCTCTCCTCCCTTAGGCAGGCTTTTGACAGAAAGACCCAACTCCAACTTGGTACACGAGCTTGTTTTATTGGATTTTTAGGACCTTTGTTATCAACTAAGTCACCCGTTAATGTCAATAGATTTTTATAGGTTAAATATACACAGAAGTACATTTTACAATAGCAAATCCAATAGTAAAGTAACGCCAATCATTCTTTGCATTTGCTCATTTACATTGTTTAAAAGGATATTTTCTATTTTCCTTGCTATTCTTCAACTAAGAAATTCTGTCAAACATCAAGAGCATTGCCACAGACAACACGTGTACTTATGGACAAAATCTCCCTGAGTCCATAAAATCTCATGCAAAATGAAAAACACAAGATATATTTTAATCAGGTGTACTGCTAAAAGTGAAGCAAAGACCTTTTATGATACTACCCATTAAGCTAGTTGTATAGGAAAATACGCATCAGAGCTTGTGAAAGTCAGAATACTCCTGAAAGAAAATGTAAAGATTTTCTGGTGTCATTTTGATTCCACAAGGGAAATCAATAATCGCCTACTAAAATACATCTCTAAAGTAAAAATGAGTATCAATAGGAAATATAATTTGATATTTAAATACTTTATATACAATTAATATTTATTTTCAAGTCCCATTCTTTCACATCTAATTCTTCTTCCCTATTATGACTGCTTCAATTATACTACTGGAAGCACTTGGGTTGCCAAGAGTCTGCCCTCCAATGATTGTTTCCCCATCTAAGCCTTCAGTTGATTCCAAGTTCTCCCGTTTTCATTATTTGTGTCATGAAACCCTCTTTCTAAAGCCTGACATATGTGTCTAGGAGTCTCACCCTGTTTCAACAACCATTCCTCAGGGCAGCACAGACCATATCTCACTGCCAACGTCTCCTCTCCCGCTGGCCTCACTGCATACACTCGGGCATATTCTGCAATCATCTGGCAATACCAATGTCACCTTGAAGCTTTCTTTTAAGTTGAATCACATGCCTAGACTGCCTTGCTTCGCACTCCTCTTCCATCACCCAAAGAGTTTCTGAAATTTTACGTATTCTAGGAAGCTGTTCCAGGTTTATCAAGGAGAGATGAAAGATTCCACTGGCCTAATTCTTGCTGATAGATCTCAAAACTGTCACAGATAATTCCCTTTGCTTTCCATTCCTAAAATATTTACCAACATACATATGTAGTGTATAGAATATGAGTTATAGCAGATCTAAATCATAGGTAGAATAAAAGAACATACATCAGCAAGCTTACTTTTTATGCTTTTTGGGGAAAGTCTAAATTTTGTTTAGAGGAAACAAATCAAGCGTTAATATAATCCCCCGTCATACAAATAAATGAGCATGAGGAAATCTGCCAGTTCATCAAATTTATGCTATGCAGCATTGGCCCAGATGAGTATTATTTCAGGGAATGAAAGTGAATATAAGGTACACCTGCATCATCCCACATGGCTATGTCACTACATTTAAGGAAGATGACTTTTCTTCTTTTTCAGCTCAGAGAACAGAAA